AGCTGGGGAGGGTTTCCAGGAAGGGGCAGGTGGCTCTTGACCTTTGTGCCAGTTTACAATATTCAGGGGTGTAGAGAAAATTCAAATCCATACAAAAGCCCTTTATCTCCAAAATGAGAAAGAATGAAAGAATTTGAGGCAAATAAAGATTATAATAACAAGAAGAATCATTTATGAAGGCTTAGAAGGTGAGGTAAGCATATTAAATCAATCAAGTGGCTACTATATATTTTACAACTTTATAAAGGAAGGAAATAAGCCTTAGAGAGAGACAATGGGGCTTAATTGAAAACTACTAGCTCCTGGCAACGTCAGGATTTGAACCTATATCCTTGTGATTCCAGAATAACTCCTCTTAATCACTCTGATATCCTGGTTATGCATCTGGAGGACTTCCTTTTACCTTTGTCTTTGGAATCATTAAAACTTCATTGTAACCCAAAGAATGAAACCCCTGTTGAGAACAAAGTTCCAAACCAGTTCTCCCAGTTAGGGTTGTCCCAGCTTAAACTTCCAATGTTGTTCCACCTCAGTCCTCTTAGTTACCATCTCAAATTCCTAAGCTGGTTAGTTACTCACTTCCAGCTCTATCATTTACATGGGAGGGTCCTAAGGCACAGTGAGAAGGGCCTGCCACTTAGTAGCAGCAGAGCCTACACTATCCTGATTACAGTAAGGAAACCTGCCAGTCCTCTGGGTCTGCGTGTCCACAGGGACCTCCCTAGGTCTCCCACTAAGAAACATGGACTGGAGAGGGTGATAGGCCGTTTTCTCCATTGAGCGTCTCAGGCTGGATCTTAGCGGCCATTTCAGCACCATGGTCAGGGGCACACCACAGTGTTTCAGGACCTCGGAGGAACTGCCAGACCGTGTTAGCCAGGCAGGCGCCTGCTTCGTCCGCCTTGGTCCACGGATCCCAGAAGCAGAGGCAGCAAACAGGGGCCTGGAACTTACCTACAAGTGTGGGGGCAGCCAAAGAACAGAGGAACCTCAAGGTCTTACAATACTCAAAGGCTCCCGCTCTCACACATACAACTACAGACTGGACTCTTCTCCTCCACATGTCTATCCATGGGCACAGAGGAAAGAGTTCCAAACCGTCAGCCTAGCACCCAAGACCCAGTCTTAGTTTGCTCCAAGAACTCCCCGAGTGATTGTGGGCCTTGAGCAAGTCGCTTACTATTCTATTTCCATGGGTGTGACCACGTTGCCAGTGCCTATCTTACAGGCTGTAGGAGCGCGCCTGTCATTAAAAGCGTCTAGTCTCAAGTCACCCTCTCCCTGTGCACTTGACTTCTGAAGGTGGGACAGGCAGGTGAGAAGCAAGTGTCACCTGCTCCCTCCTTGAAATTCACCTGTGGGGATTTTAAGGAGGAAGGGAGAAAGGAACAAAACAGAGGATATTAATTACACGAATGTAAAAATGTAATTACAATTTACCCAATGCTTATTCCGAGCCACATTTTCAATCGAATTTCCCACACCCTTCCCTTGTTGTCCCTAGGGACAGGGCCTGTAGGTTTTTTTGTTTGTTTGCTGTTTGTTTGTTTTACCGCTTCTGGTCTAGGGGACTGTGGTGATCTTCACCTCAGGCACAGTCTTCTGGTAGGCGCCCAGAAACCCAGTCAAAGGGTATTAGGAATTGCCTCCAACTTGTGAATTAGTGGAGGTGGGGAGACTTGTCCAAGATCACACAGCCTCGCGGGCCGCGGCGGAGAGAAGCGGCAGGGTGCGCCTGCGGGGTCGCGTGCGCCCCGGGCCCCTCCTGCCTTTGTGCCAGCCCAGCGGCCTGGCTCCCAGACATTAGCATTCCAATAGCCCCGGGACGCTTTGTCCTCCGACAGAGGACGGCTGGGGGGTGGGTTGGGATGGGGGCAGGGCACCATAAATCTACCTGCTTGTGTGCGCCGACGGAGCTGGGTTGGGGGAGGCGCAAGATTCATGTTCTGTTTTTCTGGAAGCCAGACTTGGGCTCAGACAAAGGCAGAAGAGGGGGAAGAGTCATTCGTTCGCAGGGTCTTTCCTGTCTGCGTTTGGGACCCTATCAGAGTATCAGGAAGCTAGGGTACCGACGGCGATCTCAGACCGCAGGAGGCCTCGCAGCCCCGGCAGCGCCGGCGGACGGAGCGGGGGCGGGCTCCCAGCCGAGACAGCGAGCGGCCTGGCTGGTTTTTAAAGCTGCTGAAAGCAGAACCCGCGCAGGAGGCGGAGGCGAGGGGACGCTGATGCCGAGACACTCATAGAAGTGCTCCCGAGCGTTCTGTCATGTGGAGGGACTCTTCGGAAAAAGGGGTGGACCAGGTTTCCCACCTAGGCGCATTTCCGTACGCACTGATGGAGCTCATCCATCGCCGAGTTCTCAACTTTGCAGTGATTCGACCAAACCCTAAGCCCTCCCCCGCCTCCTCCTGACTTGGAGAGAGAGTAGGGGGGTCAAACCCGCCCCCGACCCAAGGTGGCAGCCGGGCAGCCCCGTTGGTTAGACAGTACGTGTGTGTGTTTTAATTCGTGGGGCGGAGGACCAGTCTGTGTGCGTTGGCTGACTAATGGCTCCTTAATGAGCGCCCTCAAACGCAGGAGAGGGACTGGGCTGTGGGTGCGGCCACGGCTCACCCGGTCGCTGCAGCCAGAACGCAGACACTCGTCCAGCTTCCGGAGGTCGTCGGTACCAAGGGAATTCCCCGCCTAGGTGAACTCTCCTTCCCACAGCCTTGCACAGGAAGAAGGATCCTCCCTCTTGGGGAATCCCTCTCCAAATCTTTAGTCCTGGCTTAAATACTACTATCTCTGGTTAGTCCCGACATCCAACCTGGGGCTCATATCTCCATCTAGCTCAAATATATATCCTTGAATGATTCTGCTTATATTCTTGCTACTGTCCCACGAGAACAGAAGGACCTTCCTGCTTTTTATAACTGCTCACACCTCTCTTCCCAGCGCCCAGCAAACAGCAGGCAATTGCTTGGTCTGTGCAACTTGGAGCTGCTGACACCTGCCCTCGGGCGGTGCCCCAGGTGGAAAGTTGGCTGTTGCAGAGGTCACCAATAACTCATTAATCTCCTCCTCCCAGATTAAAGCTATAGAATGAAACAACACCTTCGTTCATTCGTTTGTTTGCTGTGTCCCCCTTCCCACCCCCAATTTGTGCCCCTGATAATTGAGACATATCTCCTTCGAGCTACCTTTAGAGACGAGGGGGAGAGAGGAGAGGAAAAGTTCAACTTGAAGCGAGTAGAGCAAGGGGGGAGAGAGAGAGGGTAGAGGGGAGAGAGAGAGAGAGAGAGAGAGAGAGAGAGAGCAAGAGAGAGAGAGAAACCAGCAGTCAGGAGGCATTAACCCCTGAGCAGCTGCCGCCTTTGTGCTCTAACATGCTGGAAAAGCCACCTACCCAGCAGCTGCCGGCTTCTTGCAGCACCACTTCCCACCTGGGTTGGCTGACTTCTTCCCAGGACACCCTGAGCCTACCCAAGAAGGCCTTTGGAGTTCAACTAGCAGGTAGGGTGCCGGCCCTCCATTCCCCTGTTCCCAAGCAGCAGGTGAACTCTGAGGATTCTTACAGCTTAGACCATCTTCCCCGAGGCCCTGGGGGTCCCCAAAGCCATGTAGGGGTGTTCCACTAGCGCTCGGACATATTTCAGGGCCAAAGACACACTGGCCTTATTCCTCTGGGGAGTAAGAGAGATCTTGTGGCTGGAAACCTTGAATGGTTTCTTGATGAATTTTCAATCATGGCTGACAGGTGTCGGGAGTCCCAGAGATTTCAGCCAGACCCTCCACCTTCTTTCCTCCTGGCAGCTCAGCTATGAGTTCAAGGCCTCACCCCAGTGTAAAATATGCTCAGGGGATGACCTTGGCCTGGGAAAATTCCTGGCATGCCCAGCCTGGTTGCAGTGTTTCCGAGGACTCTGGACTGTGACTGAATGATTACTCTCTTCCTTCCCCAAGTGCAGCCGTCATGATAAAGTCAGACTGGTAGAGTTGGGGAAAGGATTGGCAGCTTGAATCAGTAGCCCTAGTCGGAGTCTTGTCTTTCTTCTAAATTGCCGTTTAAAATAACATGAGTCGTTGCCCCACAAAGAAAACATGGGGGCTGGACCAATATTTTCCGTACAGACTTCCAGCTCTCCCAACCCAATCTGCCCAACCTCCTGCCCACTGCCCAAGGGAGGGGCCTCAAACCCCAAAAAGCATTTCATCTCTCTCCTGGAACAGGAGAGTCGCTGTGTCGGTGGCCCTCATCTCCCAGCAGGAACCATGTTTTTCCTGAGGCTTCTGGAAGGTTCATATTTTATTGGCTCAAAATCTCATCCAGCAGTCTCTCAATTACTCTTATGTACAAAATATAAACTTTTCCTGCTGTGAAATCTCATTAATAAATACAAATGTGTAAAGCAGGGGAGGGACCATATAACTTACCACACTAAAATTCATTTCAAAAGACGTCATATAATTTACAAACCGATTTTTTTTTAAAGAAAGACGCACGTTGCTCCATGCATCCGCAGCGCCTCTCACGTTTCAGGCGCAGGACCCGCAGGAGGCTGGAGAGCTGCTCCTCGCGCCAGGCTGGCGCCCTCCCAGTTCACAGCCTGTTCTTCTGCTCCAGGGAGGGCAAGAGCTCCGAAAAGTGCTCGAGAAGGCAGAGGACGGCCTTCGTGGATTAAGGCAAGTGGAGCGCCCCGAGGCCCCGGGTATGATAGGGAGCAGAGGAGAAGTTCGGCGGCGTCTTTGGAGCAGGGCCAGGGGAACGAGAGCTGAGATACCAAACACTGAATTTAATCAATTAGGGGAGGGGTGGTAAGAGACAGACGGGCAGACAGACAGACTGGAGGGCGACCCGAGACGGCCGTGTGGTGCTACCATTCCTGTCTTCTTTGAACGAGACTTTGGGGTGGCAGCAGGGAGGGGGCCTAACATACGCGCAGCCTGCAATGCCCTCTTCGCCTGGGCAGCAGCGAGTGTTGCGCGAGTCGGCGCGGCACGGAGGGCCGGGTATGAGCCCAGCCCGCCACCCTGCGGCCCGCCATGGGTCAGCCAGTGTGAGGCAGAAGGAACAAGTGCGCTCGAGAGCCGCTGCCGCCCGCCGCCCGCCCTCGACGGCTCGTGCTCCCTCCCTCCCTCCCAGCACCTTCGGGCCAGCTACGGCTGGTCCCTTCACAGAAAGTCTGAGAAGGCCAGAGCGCCTGGGCGCAGGCAGGCGGGGGAGGTGGCCGCCTGCAGCCCGGGGCGCTCCTCCAGCGAGGCGGCGGGGCTCAGACTGCCAGCCTGGGAGACTGGGGAGTAGAGGGAGCCCCAGTCCCCGGAGGAGCCGCCGTCTGGGCTACCCAGCTCCCCGCAAGGCGGCGCCGGCGTCTCCAGTTCACAGAAGCTGTGGTCCGCTATGCGCAGCGTCTGAGTCAGCGCCCAGATGTAGTTGTGGGCGAAGCGCAGAGTCTCGATCTTGGTGAGCTTCGCGTCGTCGGGGAAGGTGGGCAGGACGCCCCGCAGCGCGTCCAGCGCGGAGTTGAGGTTGTGCATTCGATTGCGCTCGCGGTCGTTGGCCTTCTTGCGCCGGCTCCGCCGCTGCTTGCTCAGCGCCAACTCGCTCTTGGGCCGGCTGCGCCCCCCGCGCCGCGCCCGGAGCTTGTTCGGAGCCCCACGGCAGCCTCTCCCTTCCGCCTCCGCGCGGTTCCCCGGCGGGCGAGTGGGGCTGGGCGGGGCCGACGTGGCGCAGGTCACTTCGTCGTCCGAGGCTCTGGAGAAGGGCAGCTGCGTCTCACGGCTCACTTGGACCGCGGGCGCACGCGAGGGATGAGGCGCCATCCTGCGGCGGGGTGAAAAGGGAGCGAAAGCGTGGGTCGGTCGCCGGGCGCAGTCCCCGAAGCAGAGAAAAAGCCACCACCCTGCCTCCCCCCGATCGGGGACCCCTCCTCCCCTCGCTGGTTCCTTGGGGGCCTCTGAGTGTTACCTAGTTCTCCAGGCGCAAAATAATAGCGGTGGACAGCAAGGGCAGCAGGCGGTTGAGCGCGCCTTGGCGTCTGCAAGTTCAGCCGAGCTGCAGGGGCCCCCGCCAAGGACTTGCCCCAGCCCGAGAGAAGAGCGAAGGCGCTCCCGGGCCTCTGTCGCTCTCTCTCGGCGCGCCGGTGCAGAGACCGCAGGGATTTCCAAAGCCGCAAGTCGTGTGCCCCTTGGCACACTTTATCTACTCGGCCCGGGCCAGGAGCGTGCCTGCCCGGCTGCTGCCCGCGCCACCGGCCAATCAGCGCCGGGACCCGGGGGCCGCGCCACGCGAGCCCGCTCCTCCCCCGCAGGGCACAGCTGGATTCCGGACAAAGGACCAGGGCCGGGGTCGGGGGAGGGGAGGGCCCCTCTGTTTGCTCTCTCCCCGCGGGCTCCGTCCCAGCAACTCTCGGTTCCTCAAAGAGCCTCGCCCGGTGGGACGAGTCTGGCTCGCGTCTGGTCACCCGAGACCGCTTTGCTCTATCCTGTCATTCCTTGGCATCTGTCCAGACGCCCTCTTGGTACCCCGAGGGGGCTTTGGGACATCTGTAGGGTAGACCAAAGCCCATGAGGTGCACACAGGGAAATTTAAGCTCAGAGAGGGTGGTGGCTTGCCCCAAGTCGCACAGCAAAAGTGACAAACAGAAAAGGAGCCCGATGTACTGACTAACAGCAGTGCAGGGGCCTCTACTAAATCTAAATGCCACGTGCTCTCCTGCACGTGGGTCAGGTTCATAAACACCTGGGTTGATGTTCCACTGACTCACCTTCCTGGGAGGAAGGACAGAGAGACCATGAAGAGAGATCCTACCTGTGTCCCTTCCATTCTGAGACCTTCTCCAGGAGGTGTGTCTGAGCACCGCCCCCTCCCCCAAACCCCACCCGCCGTGACCCCTGAGAGAAGCCACCCCATACTTCCCAGACAGAGACACTTAGAACCCCACCCCCATCCATTCCACCCTGGCGCAGTTGGCTGCAGAAAGTGCTCCAGGAGGTGTGAGGAGATGCGAGGAGGTGTGAGGAGGTGAGGAGGGGGCTGGCAGCTCACAGTGAGCCCTTTGTATCTTTTGAACGCCCATGATGTGCGGGTGATGCAAGAAGCGGACCAATTTTTTCTTCCCCTAGTCCTCCTGTCCAATCACAGGCGGGCAGGGGATGCCAGCGGTCACCTGGTCCAGCCCCCGGCCTCGGCATCACCCAGGGAAGGCATGGCAACCTCAGGGCAGGGACTGTCCAGGGCCCGTGAGCTCTGTCTGGAAATTGTTCTAAAGTGAATCCGAACACACCATCCCTCTTTTCTTCCCCAGCCCCTCCCTTTTGTCCCCGCCGGGGACACCCCGTGGTCTTCTGCTTCCGGTCACTCGGGGGGTGAGGGGCTGCAGCTTCCGCTCCTCTCTCTTGACCCGGTCGTGCCTGGAGGAAGAAGCGGAGGCCCAGGTTAAGTCTCTGGGGTTGTCCTCATAGGTGGCATAGGCTTAGCTTTCTGGCAGGTCCAGATGCCCTGGGCCTCCTGGAAACTGCTGGAGGGAGCAGACTTGACTGGGAGGCTGAGGGGGTGGGGTGCGGGGAAGAGGTAGGTCTGCGGGTCGCTGTCTTGCCGATCTTGGCGGCTGTGAGCAGGGGCTCCTTCCCTTGCGGCCGGGAAATAAAGCCTGGGGCCAGAATCCAGGCCATCAGAAGGGCTGCATGGGACTTTTGAGCTCTGTATATTCTGTGGCTCCTCCCTTAGGTCACCACTTGCTACAAACTTGTCTTCTAGTCATAAGAATGGGAACTCTCGAGTCACGCTTTACAGATGAAAAAGTTGAGGCTCGGAGAGGGGCAGTGACTCATCCAAGGTCACACAGCAAGTTCTATCGGAACCACATAAATGCCAGGCCCTAAGACTCCTAGCCCTGAATTTTGCTTTCTACTGGGCTGCCCCTCCTTGATATGGGGGGAATATATTTTTTTAAAGGCAAAACAAAAGACCCCCAAGTGCAGAAAACAGAGGAAGTCCTGAATCTGGAGGTCAGATTGAAAAAGAAATATGTAATGACCCCAGGGTCGAGGGGAGCCAGGGTCCACTCAAACTCCATTTTTGACTTTTTCCCCCCCTATACTGCAGACTTGCTTGAATCATATACTCTGCAAATTAGAAACTGGAAGGGAAAATCCAATGCATGCTTCCCTAGGGCCTCCGGACCCAGCCAGGCTGCGTGGAGGGAACCCTGGCTAGGAGGAATCCAGGCACCCCTGTGGCTCCCTGGAGACCTGAGGAGCAGATTACAGCTGGGACTCTCATTTGGCCGTGGGCCTCGGATAGACTTGGGACTTTCTCTGACTGGGGCCTGCCTGAAGCGGTTAATGGATACTGGCAAGAGCCACTGGTGAGCTTCCTGCACTAGAAAGTCTCTGGGGATTCTTTCGAGCTCTCTTGATTGGTAGAGAATTCTGGGACCTGCTTGGAGCTCGTTTTCAGCCTCCCCATAGCCCCTGCGACTCAAGGTCCTCCAGGGCTTTCAGGTCTCCATCACTCTTGCTTTGCGCAAAAGACGATCCTGCAGGAGTGCGCACAGTCTGGGGCAGCCGCGTCCTTGAGAGACACAAAGACATCCTGCAGCCCTCATCTGACCAGGTGTCTGGTGCCAGAGGTGGAGGAGTCCCAGGGGATTAGAGATCGAAAACCCATGCCCTCCCTCTCAGCTGCAGGGGATGCACAGACCCCTCTCCAAAATTAATTCCTGTGCATTTGGCATCGGAGGCGCAGGTGGTGACGACTCTGTGCGCACAGGCTGTGTTTGTGAGATGACTCTTTGCGCGGGGAGCAGAGTCTGTTCCTGCAGCCCCTGGCCATCTACCACCCCTGAGGCCTCAGGGACTCTCACACCTCTCCAACCCCTGAGACCTAAGTTTGCCCGGAGGCTGAGGGTGTCCTGGAGAGAGGCGACAGCCAGACGTCTGGAGACCTCGCAAAAGAAGGAAGGCAGTGGCCAGCCCTGCCGCCTTCCTGTCTGCGGGGGGATTCTCAGCATTGCCTGGGGGCTCTTTGAGAATTGTGCAGGGATGGAGGGGGGCCATGGGAAGCTGAATAGCTAATGGTTTGCCAGAGGAGGGGGCTTCTTTCTCTCGCCTTCAGCTCAACGCTGAAAGAGGGGAAGACAAAAATCTGGTGAGCGAGCTGCCCGGGCAGAGATTGGCCACTTCAAACAGCCCTTCAAACAAAAGGAGACGACGAAAAGAAAGCCCCACCTGTCTCCAGTGTTTGCTAAAATAATAATAAATAGATTTCGTTTAATAAATAATTACAAGAGATTGTAAAGTGGAGTGCTTTGGAAAACATCTACTGCGGGAGCCCTTGCAGCCAGCCGTCACCTGCTCCTAAGGGTAACAAGTTTATTGTTAAGCCACCCCCAACTAGTTCGCCTCTGATAAACTCTCCCTGGTTTTCACAATGACTGTTTACTCATAGTTAGCACAATATTACCTTTGCCGTGATAAACCCGGAGGGGGGAGACCTGGGCCCTGGCCCCTGGGCACACCTGTCCCAGAAGCTGACACATGGATCTGGCGCAGAGCAGGCCTCCCCCCGGGGGCCCTGCCCCCGTGTACATTGGCCCAATTGCCACTCATTTATAACAGGTTGACTGCAAGGCCTATCTCGGTCCTATTTGTCTTCTTTTATTGAAAGCATATGGTCTCCAGGGGCTCACCAGCCCCATATTTCATCTGCCAGGAGCTGGGGCGCTTCCGCAGGCTGCTGCTGCCCAGCGCACGACTCCCCACCCAACGGCTGCTGCCCCAGCTGAGGGGACGGTGGAGGTAGGGTGGGGAGAGATAAGGCAGGCTCCTCACCCGCTCTCAGAGAGATGCCATTTCCCCAGAGACTCCCCCGCCCCAGGCCCAGGGACCTCGTGCGCTCTTGAAAGGGTGGCTGGTTCTTTTTCTTGGGTAGGTGAGAGGGCGCCATATGCCACCCCCCAGGGCGCACGAGGGAGCTCCGGCCCAGGGAGTCTTGGAACAAAGGGAGGAGAAAGCCCGGGCGCTCAGGAGCGCCCAAGGTCTTTATTTCCAGATCCCCCTCCCTGCCCTGGGCCGCCTCCCCCGGGCGTCCGCAGCTCGGGCGCCGCGCCTGGAAACAAAGTGTCCACATTATCCCGGAGGCCGCGGAGACGGTGAATGCGTGAAAAGGTGCATTGCGCTCCAAGACACCTGTTGAAGCGGCGCCTCTTCTCAGCGCCTCTCTCGGCTCTGCGCTGGGTCAGGAGCTGCGCGGGGAGTGGGGGGCGGGAGGAGGGAGAGATACTGTGATTTGTGGCGACATATGTCGAGCAGATCGGTGTGTACTCTTCACAGGGACACAGGCACCCTCGCTCCCATACACACCCCGCGAGAAGGAGCAGCTGCTCTCCTCACCTTCTCCCCACATAATACCTGGGCCAGGCGCTTTGGCCTCGCCTTTTGAGACTCCAACTCCCCCCACTTTCTGTCTTCCGCCCCCACCCGCCGCCCCGATCTTGGCAGCTTCGCTGTAGGACTTTTATTGTCAAATTTAACAGATGCACGTTTGTTCCCAGCGCTCGGTCCCAAACACACACACGCACACATACACGCAGGCCTCCGCAGAAGACGCGACTGCTGACACAGATGCGGAGTGCGAGATGCCCATATGTCCGGCTCTGCGTCCACCCGGGCTGGGAAAACAAACAGGCTGTGTGATTTTCCCTCCCTAGAAAGAAAGAAATAACGGAAGCCGACGGGGGCTGGGAGGCCACCTCCAGGCGTCTCCAAATTGGACGTTTCTCTTTGGCGCGGTGCGCCACAGTGCTGTGCTGGCAGCCAGGAAG